AATTCAGCTTGGCTCTTTGATGCTGCCTTGAAAAATGAGACGATTAATCAATGAGGTTAGTGGCCAATTAGGCATAACCTTGTAGAAAAATAATTATGCCCGCTCTCTGGGCTTTCCAGAGCGATGAGGTGGGAATGCAGCCCAGGTGGAGGGGCTGTTCCGAAAAGATAGGGCTGGTCAGGGAATTTCTGGAAATTTAAGATTAACAAGATTCAGATGTGTGGTGGTGGTGAGGTTGTCTGAGTGTAGTAGGGGTGTGTGTGTGTGTGTGTGCGCGCGCGCGTGTGTATCAATTTTTGCCGAGAAAGTTAACCCTTAGCAACACAGCCTGGGTGGACTCTGCAGGCAGCATGTTTCCAGCAGCTCAGGAAAGGTGTGTCCCTTGCTTGCCAGCCCCACCCCCTCCTCTCTGAGGGACTGTCCCTGTGTATCGCCTCTCAGTGGCTTTGCTGCTGCTTTGGGAGGCTGGGTTCCAATGAATGCATTTAGTTTCATGTCCAGGGAGCCCTGTCGTTGCAGAGGGAGGTTTCTGTGCTTTCTGAGGATGCACATTTCTCCTCATGTTAAATAAAACCTTATTAAATGGGTGCAAAAGGGAGACAATCTGTCTCCGGGGCTGGGAAGTTCTGCTGCTGAGCGGGGCTTCCTTTGCCTTTTTTTGGAATGACTGGCCGGGCTGGCACTGCAGTATTACAATACAGCCATATTAAAAGATCTTCAGAGCTCAGAGCCCTCCACTACTGCAGCCCCCGTCTTCAACAGACTTCCCTGCTGAAATCCTTCCTTCCCGGAGCATGCAATAGATTTCTAAGTGTACTGTGTGCATTTTAACCCCTTTCTGTCTCTATTTTAAGCTTCTCTTATCTATTTATACCTCTACACCCTATATAGTAGATTTTTGTTCAGAAGGCAAACACCTAGAGGTGTTTCCAGAGCAGAGGGATTTTTGCAACAGGTCCTAGGTCTCGGTTTTCTGGTAATGGGTCCCTTTGGCATTTAGCAACCTGGGGACCTGGTGTCTCCTTTAGTGAGCTAACCAGGTTGGACCAGGTGGTCTCTGAGATCCCCTGCCGTGCTGACATTAGCTGGTTCTGAATTTTATGGCTTTTCTTCCTTTCTGAGCTGAGCAGGAGCAGCTGAGCAGGGCAATGTGACAGTGGCAGTGCCACCAGTGGAAAGGGATGGGGACTGGCTGGCTGAGGCTTATTAGCAAATAGGAATCATCCAGCTGGAAGACTGCCTGGTGATACTGGTGTCCAGGGTCCACTGGGAGCCATGGGCTTCATCCACTGTCCTCAAAATGAAGGGCCACCATTCAGCCCTTCTCTTTTCCAAGATTTTTTTTTTTTTTACCAGCCAGACTCTTATGCTGGCAAAGACCTCGCTCCTTTTATAAAATAGAAGCTTTTTAATATAGTGGGAAGGGCTATGAGAGGAGACGAAAGGAGAGGAAAGGAAAGAGGGAAAGAGAAAGAGGTGTGGAGGGGCAGTGGTCAGAGAGACAGAGAAGCACAGGGACAGCGTAAGACTTCAAATACAGCCAGACAGTGGGAAAGAGGTTGAAAGACAGAGTGAGAGAGGAGGGGGAGGAGGGGAGGAGGGGACACAGGAGGAGACACAGGCGGTGGAGGGAAAATAGAGACGAGGAACGCTAGGACAGATAGGAAGAGGAGGGCCCATGTCGTCTTGTTTATCTTAGGACTTGAAAAAATGTAAAGGGAAACCCCAAACTGCCAAAGACTCATTCTAGATAGACTTGCTTTTAACTCAGCTTTCAAGAAATAATTACTTATGAAATAAATGTTGCACCATAGAAGGCCATTAACTCCATTTCTTGTTTATTCCTTGAATGGGGACTCCAGTCGTTGGGGTGGGTTGGAGCTCAGAACGGACCCTTTTGCTTAGTAGACATGCTTGGCATAGCCCCAAGAGCGTGCTCTTGTTTGCACCAAGTCTGGGTGCTCCATTTGGATACGCTGGGTGTAGGAACAGCTTTGGAGGGGAGATATTTTTTGCTTTTAGATCTGTCTTCCACAGAATGGATGCCTTTTTAAAAAGTGTATTTTTAGTTTATTTAACCTTGAAGGATAAAAGAAACAGGAACGGTAGTATAGTAAATGCTCCTACTTGCCACCCAGAACTGAGAGTGATGGGAAAGGATTCCAATTCATTTTTTCTTCTCCAGCCTCCTCGCCCCCATTTCAGACCATCCTTAGAGCCTCCCTACTTATCTCCTGGACTCCTAGTGTGGGCCTTTCCCACAATTGTGACATCATCTTTCTAAAACATAGCTTTGATAATGTTACTCTCTAAGTCAAAAAATGTAAACGTTTCCCTCTGCCTAAAGCATATCATTCAAATCTCTGACCATAGGCCTCAAAGCTTTTCGTAGCCTGGCTTTCCGCCTCCTCCTAATGTGCTTCTCTCTCTCTCTCTCTCTCACACACACACACACACACACACACACACACACACACAGCATCATATACTCTCACACACACACAGCATCATATACAAATTCACACCCTCTCACACATACACTTAATGGGAGAAGTCTGCTGTTAGGGCTGGTAGGCTTGCTTCCCAGTTCTCCCCATGTGCATGTCTAAAGCATTACACATACCCTCTCACACACACATATGCATAACCACACTACACTTACATCACATGCACACCACACACATGCCTTTCATACCTTTGCAGGTGTAACATTCCTACTCCTTTACCTGATAAACTACTCATCCTTCAGGATCCATCTGAAAGCAACATCCAATCAGAGCTCTCTTTCCCTTTTGTTTCCCTTGTAAGCTTGTGTTTCCTTAACACTAAGCACCCTCTCTTGAAGAACTATGTTATAATTCTCCATGTGTTTCTCTCCCAATAGATAGTAGTTCCTTCCAAGTGGGGATAACTTATGCATCTCTCCAATCTCAGGGTATAATGCAGTGCTTGGCATAGGGTATGATTGATGTTTAATGAATACATTCATTTTAAGAGCTTCTAAAGCATGATTAACATCCATGACATCTTTTTCACTTATTATTTTCTCTTACTCTTATTTTTATGTTTTTTCTTTTGGTTGAAAAATAATACAGGCTTTAAAAAAATTCAAATGATACAGAAATATATAAAAAGTTACAGCCCTTTTCCCCATCCCACCTAAATACCCTCTATTTTTAATGCACATGTTATTAAATACTTGCATGTCTTCTTGCACTTTGCTTTATGTCTTATTGTCCCAACTAGAGCATATGCAGGGATCCATGCCTAATGTAGTGTTGTACATGTCATATGTGTCCAACAAATATGGAATACTCATTGGGCTCATTTGTAAAATTACATTAAATAAATTATTTCACCAATCTTCACAATAGCCCTATGTGATTGGTGTTATAATCCTTATTTTACAGATAAAGAAAACTGTGCTCTAAGAGGTTATAGCAATTGGCCAGGTCAGATAGGGAAGGAGTAGAGGGGTCTGGATTCAAACCCAGGTCTCCTTTATTTACTACCTCTGCCCTTTCTACTCTACTCCAGAGTGGATCTGTGGGAACCTAGAGGAAAGGCATCTAACTCAACTTTCCATGCCTAATATTTGCCCAGGGCTTCATAGTTGTCCTTCCAATGAGTTATCATTATCCTTTCCAGATGAGAAATGGAAGCACACGTGAGAAGTTAATGTGACCTGGCCAAGTCCCTAGAGCCACGAAGAAGTGAAAGGTATTGAACCCAGGCCTTTGGGCCCAAAGCTCACTCCCTAGTCTTAGATGTGAGAGTTGATCCCAGGACGGGGTAGGGAACCTTCTGCTTTCACTTTAGAACAGTGACTTTATAAGACATAAGAAGTCTGGCTGGTAGGGCGGCTTCCCAGTTCTGCTCATCTGCATATCTGAAGTCTTCTTTGAACCAGAACCATGGACTGAGTCATTTTCTTGAGACTGGTGAGCACCTGTGGACATAGTTGCAGTTCTGTAGATATGCTACAAAACCTAATGGGATGGTTTGAAACTTCAGTGTTGGGATATTTGTCAGTGAGGCAGTGGGTGCTGGAGGCCTCCAGAGCTTGGCTTTGATAGCGCCTGCCTCTGGGTGGGACACAGCTCCTGTTAACTGAGTGCTTGATGTATGTCAGGCACTAGGCTGGGTATACAACTTGTATTCTCTCATTTAATTCTTGTAACAATCCTAGGGATAGTATTAGGAGCCTCACCTAGAACAGTGCCTGGCACAATAAGTATCAATAAACTATTTGCTGAATTTTTATGAGTTGAGAAGGAAACCATGGACCAGAGACACTAACTTGTCCTAGCTTACCTAGCGAGTGCATTTCTGAACTTGGATCTGAACTAAACTCTGACTCTAGAGACTGTACTCTTTCAACCGTACTGTTTTTCTTCTGAATTGGAATTACTGACCAATTGATATAATAGAACTTGAATTTGCAGATGCCTTTGTCCAAATACTTTGTTTAAGAGAGAGAAAAGTCTACCATGGACGGAGTATTTCTCTAAACAGTTTAGGTACAGTAACTTGCTTCATCTTTGTGTTCTCCAGATAAGGAATATGAGGTGCAGATAAGCAGTAGAGAGATGGGATTGGAGCACAGGCACTCTGTGTTTTTTGCTATTCAAGTGTATAACATTCCAGGACCTGTTTAAGATCCTAGAGTTA